GGCTAAAGCTGAATGAATTTATTATGAGTTTTTAAAAAATGAGCATTAACATCAAAGCATCTAGTCTTTTCTTTTAAAAAAAAGTACAAAATGACAGTTTCCTTGGAACATTTATAAAAGACTCTATAATGTTTTCTTTACCCTTTAAGTGATCTGCATAAGGAAAAATACAGAAGAAATTCTTACAGATTCAATGCTATCCCCATCAAGCTACCAATGACCTTCTTCACAGAACTGGAAAAAACCACCTTAAACTTCATATGGAACCAAAAGAGAGCCTGCATAGCCAAGTCAATTCTAAGCAAAAAGAACAAAGCGGGAGGCATCACACTACTGGACTTCAAAATATACTACAAAGCTACAGTAATCAAAACAGCATGGTACTGGTACCAAAACAGAGATATAGACCAATGGAACAGAACAGAGGTCTCGGAGGCAACGCAACATATCTACAACCATCTGATCTTGACAAACCAGACAAAAACAAGCAATGGGGAAGGATTCCCTGTTCAATAAATGGTGTTGGGAAAGCTGGCTAGCCATGTGCAGAAAGCAGAAACTGGACCCCTTCCTGACACTTTACACTAAAATTAACTCCAGATGGATTAAAGACTTAAACATAAGGCCTAACACCATAAAAACCCTAGAAGAAAATCTAGGCAAAACCAATCAGGACATAGGCATAGGCAAGGACTTCATGACCAAAACACCAAAAGCATTGGCAACAAAAGCCAAAATAGACAAATGGGACCTAATCAAACTCCACAGCCTCTGCACAGCAAAAGAAACAGTCATAAGAGTGACTCGGCAACCAACAGAATGGGAAAAAATTTTTGCAGTTTACCCATCTGACAAAGGGCTGATATCCAGAATTTACAAAGAACCAAAACAGATTTACAAGAAAAAAACTAACAAGCCCATTCAAAAGTGGGCAAAGGATATGAACAGACACTTTACAAAAGAAGACATACATGAGGCCAACAAACATGTGAAAAAATGCTCATCTTCACTGGTCATCAGAGAAATGCAAATCAAAACTACATTGAGATACCATCTCACGCCAGTTAGAATGGCGATCATTAAAAAATCTAGAAACAACAGATGCTGGAGAGGATGTGGAGAAATAGGAACACTTTTACACCGTTGGTGGCAGTGTAAATTAGTTCAACCATTGTGGAAGACAGTGTGGCGATTCCTCAAGGACCTAGAAACAGAAATTCCATTTGACCCAGCTATCCCATTACTGGGTGTATATCCAAAGGATTATAAATTGTTCTACTATAAGGACACGTGCACACGAATGTTCATTGCAGCACTGTTTACAATAGCAAAGACCTGGAACCAACCCAAATGCCCATCGATGATTGACTGGACAGGGAAAATGTGGCACATATACACCATGGAATATTATGCAGCCATCAAAAACGATGAGTTTGTGTCCTTTGTAGGGACATGGATGAACCTGGAAACCATCATTCTCAGCAAACTGACACAAGAGCAGAAGATCAAACACCACATGTTCTCACTCATAGGCGGGTGTTGAACAATGAGAACACACGGACACAGGGAGGGGAGCACTACACACTGGGGTCAGTTGGGGGGAAATAGGGGAGGGACGGTGAGGGGTGGGGAGTTGGGGAGAGATAGCAAGGGGAGAGATGCCAGATGTAGGTGATGGGGAGGAAGGCAACAAATCACACTGCCACGTGTGTACCTATGCAACAACCTTGCATGTTCTTCACATGTACCCCAAAACCTAAAATGCAATAAAATAAATAAATGGAAAAAAAAAAAGAAGAAATTCTGTGTTTTACCAAGATAATTTTTTTTGATTTATGTTGTCTTTTATTAGGTCTTTTTATTGCTTAAAAAACAGAACCTTCTTAAGATTAAAAGAGCTACTTTTTAAAAACTATGTAATGTTTCCGTATTTGCTTTTCATTGTTTCATAATTACTGATGATCCTGTTTAACCATGTGTTTTAAACCTTTTGACATTTTTTACTAACTTTCCAAAGTCAAATTAAAAATTATATCTTTTGGCCTTGAACTGTTTGATATGTTAAATTATATGGGAAGTATTATTAAATAAGGAATTATATTTAACCTTTTTTGAGTTACATTTGTATGAATATGTTATTAATATGTGTTCCAGAAACTTTTTGAAATTCCTAGCAATCTGATATGTCTTGGTATAAGGCCATCTGCCATAATTTTGGTAATGTTAAAATGTTGTACACCATAAAAATAACCAAATTTCTTTTCCAATTGTGTTATTATTGTAGTAAACTCTCATCATTTCTTTAACCATGCCATTTTGTTCACAGTTAATTACTTTATTCTCATGCTCTTCTGAAAGTTTTTTTTTTTTTTTGTAAGCCATTATATTCCTAAAGTGCTTCATCCTTAGGGAGATTCACGGAAAGAACTCTGACAGTACAGATTTCTGATGATTTTCAGATAATACCTTTGAATGAGTAAGAATTTCTGAAACTCTAATAAAGAAACTAACAGCTTCATAAAACTACTAACCAAAATCAAGCAGAATGAAAATTAATTATATGAAATTGAATGAACTGATGAAGATAATGTTTTAATGACTTTTTATTTTGGAATTTTGCTGGTTCTTGTGGGGTTTTGTTTTCCAGATTTAAGGAACCCTATTTCTTTTAAGCTATCTAAAGTTTCTAGCAATTTGGTAAAGTTGCTTTTGTAAACAAAAATGAAAATATTTACTCCTCCCGACCTGATTTCTCCAGAATTCTGAAACTATTATGAATATTTTTTATTTTTATGGCAATAGTTATTTGCATAACTTCAGGAATAATCTTCTCTCTTTATGACAGGATACATAATTGGAAATATTGGTTATGTCACCAATGCTTTGACTAGGATGTCATATTTGAGAATGTATGAATGAATCTATAAATACTTCAGGCAAAGTCTGAAGCCTGCCTTGGTTTGGCTTCCTATTTTTGAGGTTTTTAAAAGCCCAATATAGGCTCACACCTATAATCCCATCACTTTGGGAGGCCAAGGCAGGCGGATCACAAGGTCAGGAGTTTGAGACCAGCCTGGCCAACATGTTGAAACCCCATCTCTACTAAAAATACAAAAATTAGCAGAGGATGATGGCAGTCACCTGTAATCCCAGCTACTCCGGAGGCTGAGGCAGGAGAATTGCTTAAATCTGGGAGGCAGAGGTGGCAAGCCCAGATTACGCTTAATCACTTAAACCTGGGAGGTGGAGGCTGGTGAGCCCAGATCACGCTTAATCACTTAAACCTGGGAGGCGGAGGTGGCGAGCCCAGATCACGCTTCATCGCTTAAGCCTGGGAGGTGGAGGTGGTGAGCCCAAGCCTGGGCAACAAGAGTGAAATGCCACCTCAAAAAAAAAGTAAGTTATTTGCTGGACTTTTATAAATAAGGACATGCCAATTGTAACTTTAAATCTGCAATCTTAAGTGTAGGTCCTGGAACTAATAAGTCTGTTTGATTTCACATTGAGAATGTCTAGTCAAGCTTATCTTTCCTGGTGCAGAGCAAAAATAGACCAATAATTCCTCTACCTACCCAGAGACATCTACATAACTGACCCTTCCTTTACACCTGTTTTCTTTTCAAACACTCACCTTATCTTATGTAAAATGTTGATTTACTAGGCACTAACTAAAGTCTCATAGGAATGTAACCATTTGCCTTACCACCTACCCGTCCTGCTTCCTAGACACCATCTATGCTCTTTAAGGAAACGCATAAATACTAAACCTCCTGAAAAATCTCCTTGGAAAAACAGCCACAGGTTTGTCTGTTGCTCATGTTTTCCTGGATGTCCCCTAAAGCTGGCTTAATAAACCTCAGTGATTAAAACTTCTGTCTCAGTCACTCATTTCAGTTGTCAAGGCATTTCTAGAAGTGGAAATCTTCAAGATTAGAAGAATCCTTTCATGGGATTTACTTTTTTTCTTTCTGAAATCTGAATCTAAAAAGATCTCAGGGCTTACTCCTCTTGCACATATATGGAAAGAGGAGGCAATTTTATCCATCCATTAGTGTGCCACTGCTTTTCAGTCAACAGTGCTTTTTTTCTAGATATGTGGAGTCACTGTTAGAAACAGGTGAAAGCACAGGGCCCAATTCTGCCTTGTCCAAAGATATCATAATGTTGCTATCGCTATCTGACTCTATCAAAGGGAAGATGATTTAAGTGCTTGAATTGTAATGGCTTAAGGCTCTCACACATGGACTTTTGGATTTACTGGCACAAGTTAGGCTTCCCTTTCAAAAGTTTGCCATAACGCCGTGTGATTGGGTCAGGAGAGACTTCCAACCTCATCCGCATGTCATCTTGCAGCCAATATTCTACCCTTGCTGAGTTGTATACTTTAGCATTTAAATAAAGAAAAAACAATTTTACTAACTTTCTCTTCTCTCTGTCTCTAAACATATCTCATTTTTCTTATAAGGAAAATTTCCCTTTGGAGACCATTGGTGTCCTTTATACTGTCATTAAACTACAAGACTTCACTGAGATTTTCTTAATTCATTAGAGAAGTTCAAGTAGTGTTGAGGATTTAAAAAAGTGGTTGGGATATTTCTTTTAGAGCTCTAATGCAAGTTAACTCAAGAGTTGGTACAGAGTTTGTGAAGTGATGAAATAATTTCAGTCAAATTCTTTATTACATCCATATAAGCAGGTCCACTAGAATGACTCTTTCTAGAGGATTTAAAGTCTACTCTCCTTACCCCTAGAGAGAAAAATTGTGGCCGACTTTAAAATGAATTTTCTTTTATTAAAAAGAAGTAATATGTAATTTTACCTTGTTTATCTTAATTTGTATTTTAAAAATTAGTAGTGAGTTTAAATAGAAAGAGTTAAGAGACGGGATACTGAAGGCTGATTGCTTCAGTTCAAATCTCACTCTGCAACTTCCTTCCTCTGTGACTGTGGGCAAGTTTCCCAACTCCGTTTCCCTATCAGCAAAATAACAATTGTGCTTGCTTCATACAGTTGTTACAGGATTAAAAAAGCTAATATATGTGAAATGCTTACAGCAATGGCTTGCACATACTATGTTCTATACGATATAGATGAATTAAGTTGAATCAATGTTCCAGCAATTGGGAGAGATGAAATTTTAGCCAAGGTCTGTTGGACTTCAAAGACTGTGCTCTTTCTTCAGTATTGCATATAATATTTTGCTATTTAAAGTTATCTCATTTCCTGGACACGTGCTCACCCAAACCAAACAGCTTCTGGAAGCCCACTCTCAGCTCCTGGGTCCTAAGAGCATATACCATGGGGTTAATGGCTGGGGGGATGACAATATGCAGCACATTGAGGAGAACAGGGATGAAGGGAGCCCTTCTTCCTGCCAGGTGAGTGACAGATACTACAACAATAGCTGTGTAGAAAAAGAGAATGAGGATAAGGTGGGAGCTGCAGGTATTCAGGGCCTTAGATGTTGCTTTAGCAGAGTTCAGCCTCAACACTGAGCGAATAATCAAAGAATAGGAAGCAAAGACCAGACCCATGTCACTCCCAACCACAACCCAGACCAAGGCCAGCTGGTAAAGCCTGTTGATAGTGATGTCATCACAGGCAAGACTTGTGACCCCCAAGTTAGAGCACAGGCAGTGATCAATCTCATTCCTGGAGCAGTAGTGTCGCTGGGCAGCCAATACTGGCACTGGAATGGTCAACAAGCCATTCCTGAGCACCATTGACAGAGTGGCTTTGATGACAAAAGCTTCGGTGACTATGGAAGGGTACTGAAGGGGATAACAAATGGCCATATACCTATCCACTGCCATACAGAGGAAGATGCCTGACTCCATGCACATGAAACAGTGGATGGCATAGATCTGAGCAAAACACTCAGGGAGGCTGATGGGCTTGGCATCAAACCAGAAGATGGCCAGGATCTTGGGCATGATGGTAGTGGCCAGGCCAATGTCCACCACTGCCAATATGCCCAGCAAATGGTACATGGGTACATGTAGCATGGGCTTATGTTGAATGGTGATTATGATGAAGAGATTGGCACCAAGAGCTAAGAGGTAGAGCAGAGCCAGGGGCAGGGAGAGCCAGTGCTGCCACTCATGAATACCTGGGAACCCCATCAGGATGAACTCAGACACTTGAAACCCTGAGCTATTGGTTATACTCAGGCCAATATCCATATCATGAGATGTTTTGTTCTCAGCATCTGCCTGTGGATTAAGGGGAAACAGAATAAGACTGTGGTTAGCTCAGCTGAGGGTCAAAATTTCTGTAGAGAAATAAGGCTCACCCACAATAACTCAGTCATTTTTAAAATAATGCATTCTCTATACTCTTGAAACCCTTGGAAACAGTTCAGATAAGAACAGATGGGCCAAAATAGATGCTAAGATTAAAAATGTTAGTAGAATATTTAGTAGAATAAAAGTGAAATTTTTCTAGCTTTATTTTCCTGAAATTCTGGGAGGTGGGGGAACATAGAAAGTATGAGACATGTACATTATCAAGAACTTGATTTTCAGCAGGTAAAGTTAGAGAGCAGAGGTGTTGTCTCCATTCTTGGGAACCCTTAGGAAGAGAATAAATAGCCATAATGGAAATCCTGACCATGCCTTTCTTTTTAACAGTGCCTGGGGTTGACAATATTTTCTGAAACAAACCATCGCATTTAATCTTCACCATATAGATATCGTTATTCACATATGAACAAATAGGTTGAATAAGTTGTCTAGATAAGAATCATATGTTGAAAGCACTAGTAACTAATCTACAGAAAAAAATTTAATCTTTTGCATTTAATTCCAGCACTCCCTCCATCAAATTGTATCCTATAGGTCAGTACCCTTTAGGAATATCATTTGTTTCCTCTTCTGATTATGAAGGTAATGTTAAAGATAAAATTATATTTTCAAATAATTTTATTAATAAAAGGTGTAAAGAGGGAAAATTACCAATGAACTTCCAACCACTTCTATATTTTTCTGTGAAATAATCTGGAAACATAGCAAGCATTTATTGTGCACATTTTGACTTTTTAATATTAAGTAATTTTATGGCTCATGCTTGGCCCTTTAATACTTGGTTCTCTTCATTCTTATTTTGTTTATTCTTGAATTGTTGAAAATATTTTCAAGTAATTGTATCAAAAAGAGTATTTGGAAAAAAATGCCTGGAGCCCTTGAATATCTGATAATTCTTTTTATTGCCTTTAGCCGTGAATAATATCTTACCTCGTCAAGTATATATCTATCAACATTACCTTTCCTAAATCTCTGCCTTTGCTTCATTTCATCATATTAATTGTAAGATAAAGGTTCCCTCCCTATCTCTGAGAAAAATGAAAGACTATGCCACTTATTCATTATAATAAGCATGTATTATCCTTGAAATTGATAAAAAATGAGAAAAATAAAACAATAACACTTTTAGAAAACAAAAAAATGCAGAAAAATAGCTATAAGTAAAAATCCCAGCAAAGATTTAACATTTCAAAATATTTATTTATTTTTATCATTTTTCTTTGCAGTCTTCTTATACAGTTCCTGTTTCATGAAAATAGGATCTTTCAAACTGTGCTTTTTCTTACCATTATGCATAAAAACTTTCCAATTCACTGGGAAACTCCTTATAGACATTTTAAATTTTTATAAACATGTTTTCAATGACTACTGAATGTTATCAAATCATTTTATAACATTTCCCCCAATTTTTGTTTGGTTTTATGTGCTGTAAATATATACATATATATGCATATGCTTGTATATATGTATGTTTTACCTTTAAAATATTATTTGTACTATTTTCCCTTTATGAATAGTTTATCTTTTATGCTTAAAATAGAACTATTTAACCAAGAATTTATTGATGGTCTCATGGAAGTTTGCAAACTTCCTAAATTTGTAGGGAAACATTTTGTCTATATTCATACTTTTCTGGGGAGAGGATCTGTTTATCTTTTATCAAATTCTCAAAGCATTCCACAATCCAAACAAGAAACAATTACAGAATATTATTCTTTACTCAAATTTTGACCAATATTTTCTTTCCTATATTTTTAATTTTTAATAGTTGTTTTTTTGTGATACAACTTATTTACATGGAATTACTTTTGCTGTTGATGAGAAATATGTGAATAAATGGATTTCAAATAATTAGACAATGGCTTCTACAGCTCTCACCAAATGATTATTATGTGTCATTTGTCACACAGTGAATTTATATACACATATATAAAATTCCATTTCTGGGATTCTATTGTTTCTATTTCTTTCTGGTTATTTTTTGTCAATATTAAACCAAAGTAAAAAATTTAGTTTTATAATAAATTTAACACATAACAGAACTATATCCCTCTTATTATTCTCTTTAATATAAAGCTATTTTTATATATTTATTTGCCAGAGTACCCTTAAAATTCTCTGTTGAATTCTAAAATAGCATGTTTTTGGTTGGAATTGTGTTAAATCTATAGATTAATTTAGAAAAAAAATTGATATCTTTATATTATCAAGCCTTCTCATCCACAAATATGGATCCTGTCTGCCTTTATTTAAATCTGAAAAAAGTATCATTAAAATTTTGTACTTGTTTTTATTATCATTATTAGTGTTTGGAATGTTTTTAGTGAATATGTGTTTCTGCATTATATGTTTTTTTTTTTCTTAAGACAGGGTTTCACCATGTTGGTCAGGCTGGTCTTGAACTCCCGACCTTAGGTGATCCGCCCGTCTTGGCCTCCAAAGTGCTTGGATTACAGGCGTGAGCCACCACACCCGGCCTGCATTATATGTTTTTTTTTGTTGTTTTTTTGAGACGGAGTCTCGCTCTGTTACCCAGGCTGCAGTGTGGCACAATCTTGGCTCACTGCAACCTCTTCCTCCTAGGTTCAAGTGATTCGCCTACCTCAGCCTCTCAAGTAGCTGGGATTATAGTCATGCATCACCATGTCTAGCTAATGTTTTTGTATTTTAGTAGAGCCAGGACTTCACCATAATGTCCAGGCTGGTCTCAAACTCCTGACCTCAGGTAATCTGCCTGCCTAGGGCTCCCAAAGTGCTGGGATTATAGGTGTGAGCCACTGTGCCTGGCCTGTATTATACATTCTAATTGATATAATAACACTAAAAAAGATAAACTCAATGGGGTTCATATCACAGAAACATACTTTAGAATGTGTCCATAGATCTATGATAAAGTGATATGTTAGAATAGATATTAGAATGTTTTTATTTCCTCTTGCATTTACCTACTTTTCTAAACTTGTGCCACTTTTAAGTGTTTTGTGATTTTTTTTTTTTGTATTATATCAACCAATTAACTGTTGCTGGTAAACATCTTGTCTTTATTATCTTACGGATTGCAGTTGTATTTGTTTTGTTATTTTGTCTTGCATATCACCCATTTTGCTAAACTATTGTCAATTCTTAGAGTTTTTCCATTTATATATTAATTTTTTTCTAGGTAGAACAAAAAGTTGCTTGCAAGCAATAATATAAATTCCTTTTTTACAAATATTGACATATCTTAATTTTTGTTTTATATCTTAATATAATGGTTGGAAATTCATAATCAACATAAAGTAATTATCATGGCAAACATCTTGGTCTTTTTGGTTAAATTTAACAGGTAATTCAGCTAGAATTTACATTAAATATGGTGTCTTGTTTTTAAAGTTACATGTATTTTATTAAATATAATAAAATAGTCTTTTGTTTGTAGTTACTTTTCATTCTGGGAATCTTGAACAAAGAATTTATTGTATTATTCTAGATCCCTTGGTTTATCATTATTTATTCACTCACCATCTTAGCTCAGCCTCATTTCTCTCGTTTCCTGATCACAGACAGAATACAAAGGTGAAGAGTCTGAGCAAAGCGGGAAACTGGAGGTGAAAAATCAAACAAGGAAAGTTGACTATGGAAACCAAAGATAGGACATGTAATCAAGTTTAGAGATCAGGACAGAATTACAGGACATGGACCATGTCTGTTCCCTCACCTCTCAAGATTCAGGTCATTGACTGCATTACTTACTATTTCAGGAAGGGCAATGAAGAAGCTCTCAGGCTGGCAAAGTCTTCTGTAGCTGCTTTTACCTTCCTGGCCACAGCTGCCTATGTTCACCCTTTTGTTGTTCAGAACAGATTCCTGTCCTTGCTCAACACTCTTGGTGTAAGTTAGATCCCTGAGATACCTGGTCCTGGTGTGTCGCTCTCTATGCCCTCCCTACTCTATAAGCATCCTCGAGGGCCTAATGCTTTTAACATTGCAATGGGAATAGGACCCAAGTACTCTGCAGCTAGCCAACTAATTTCTAGGAGTATACCTCTTTAGCCCTAGTCGCAGGGGCAGCCCACCAAATAGTTTTTCATCCAGACTCCTCAGGCATCAATTCGTCCCTATCTGATGAATACTGCCCCTCATTACAGTAAGGTTCTGACATCTCCCATGTTAAATATACCTTTACTCCATATCCCTTCCAGTGATTGCCCCTATCTACTTCCCTCTTCCCAAACTTTAGGAGTAGCTTCTTTATTTTGCTCTCTCTCTCTCTCTCACACTTCCTGAATGCTTTTTAACTTGCTGCAATTTACTTTTGTCAAAACATCACACAAACTGCCCTTGCTAATGACCTTAAATTGCCAAACATAATGGTTATATTTTAGAACTTAATCCTACCAGAATCCTCTCCAGTAGTTGTCCGTGTTGATCAGTTCCTTCTTCTAGGTTCACTTGTCTCTCTTGTGATTCATGACATCATATTTTTAGTGTTAGCTAAACTGGAACAAAAGAGTAATAAAATTACTTTCCCTGATAGAAATGTTAGTCTGTTCTGGGAAAGAATGTTCTCTGCGATAGTTTTTTTTTTTTTTTTTTTAAATCAGTCAACTTACCCCAAAGAAAGATGAATCTGCTCAATGGATTTTTCTCATGATATTAGAGGAACTAAATGATAACAATTTAGTAAGATAGAATTATAACTATTTTTAGATCACAGACAATAAATTGGTGATACGATCTATAAGGAACCTTGAATGACTGAATAATGTCAGGAATTCCATTATGACATGCTATATTATGGAAAACTTTATGAGCTTGGAAAGGGAGAATTTAAAGAGGTATATGTTGATGCTCATCAGAAAAATACTCTTCTGAATTCAGAAATGGACTAGAGTCAACAAATGACTATTCTAATCTGCTTCCTGAAAGAGTATTTTTGGGTTTCTGAGATGAGTCGTCATGAGGCTATTCTAGTGATGCTATAATGAGAAGTAAGTAAATAGGTAAATCATATAGATAAATCTAATCTACCAACTCCCTCTGAAGTTCAAACGTGTTTTGCTTGTCAGCATGATAATGAGATACCAAAGGCCACTATGAGCTACTGTCTGGACTGATATATAGCTAACAAGTAGATATTATTGGCCCCAGGAGGTTACTAATAGTTTCTGACTGGGATAGGGAGATATTCTGGATTTCATTTTACATGTATAGGAATGGAAACAAATGCTTCAAATAACACCAGAGGACT